ATATAGATCAAAGAATGTCACCATCAAGAAGACAAAGATGCTCACCACTGGGCCAATTGGCAGTACCGTGATAGATGGAGAAAAGATTGAGAGTATTAACACTTTCAGCTTGTTCGGCTCCACAAATAACACTCTTGGGACCAGCAGCGAGGAAATCAAAAGACAAGTTGCTTTAGGGAAATCCACTGTCAGGGACATGTCCTAAGTGCTAAAGAGCAATGATATCAGTCTAGAGACTAAGATGTGTCTGATCCCGGGATGGTCTTCGCAATTACTTTCTGTGCATCAAATAGCTGGACAATGAGTAAAGATGACAGAAGAATTGATCAATACCTTTGAGTTGTAGTGCTGGAGATGAGTCTCAAATATACCATTGACCACCAAGAGAACAAACGGATCTGCCTTGGAGAGGGTGAAACCAGACTGCTCCTTTTTGTTGCTGTTGTTGTAGGCAAGGACTTCAATGCTCCATCTGCATACTTTGGGCACATGGCCAGGAGGGATCAGACCTTGGAGAAGAACATCATGCTTGGAATGGTGGAGGGACAACATGGGAACGGATGACCTTAGATGAAATGGATTGACACAGTATTGTGTGTCAGAGACAGACTGGCTCAGGATAGGGAAGGCTTCAGAGCTGTTGTACATAGGGTTGCTGTGAGTCACAAGCAACTTGATGGCACATAACAATAACAACATGCCATTTATAAGAATTTCTTACAGTCTTCATCATTGTGTTTTTCAGCTACTCAAATATGCATCCATTTAGTCTTCCAGCCATTTTATAGTTTATAGTTGCTATGAATATAAATTTATTCCATTTTTATTGTCAGATTTTTATTTGATTGATACTTTCCTTTTAAAAAATAAGGAAGCTTGTTTGGTTTGGTAATTTCATTTTAAGTAAAGTGTGCACACAGTAATGTTTCTAAGAGTAAATTGTATGTAGTAAGAAACAAAACTTTTTTCATGATTTCCCCCTTTTTTCTCTGAAGAAGCAAAGACTAATCTAATCCCAATAATACTTTCTTCAACCATAGTGTAGATTATAAGACCTAGAAAAAGACTTGGATTTCTAAAGGTTATACCTCAGTAGCTCTGGTTTGCTGGCAGGTGATGGAAAATGGTAGCCTGAATCTGTAGAGGGCAGGTGATCCAGCTTAGTTTCTATTTTGGCAATTTACAAGAATGTTTACTAGGTATATTGGATTTTCATGAAATCACTCATATATATTGTTTTATAATATTAATTACAATTCTCACAATGTAATCATACTTCCTCTACCCCAACTTTTAATTCTTGTATCTGACCCCTTTCTTGCCTTCAGAGCTTGTTGTTGGTCTAATGTGCTCTTTTGGCTTTACGTTGTTTATTAGACTAAGGAGTGGGGGAGCTCTGGTTGCACAGCCTGGAGGGAGGTGTGCTGCTAACCCAAAGGGCCTGACAGTTCTAATCTCCCAGTGCCTTTATGGCAGAAAGACATTCTATCCCCAGGGCAATTCACAGGCTCCAAAAACCCAGTAGTAGGTCAGCTATGGGTTGAATGCCTCTCTGGTGTTTTTGTTCACCTTATAGACCTGCCTATTGTTACACCTTGTGGCTTTAAGGCATTTAGAACTTGAGTCTGCCACTCATGTTTCAAGGAAGAAGAAATAGAAATTGGCTCTTAAATGTATTGATGGATGACTGCTCCTTCTCCTTCCTGTTGAAATAATTTTGCTTATGTGAGCAGACTGGATTTATTTTCTTTTCGTATGATTTCTGAATAATGCTAAATGTCTTCTTGTTACGGACAAGATTTATGTATGATGGCATTGAGAAAGAAAGGAAAACCAAAAATGTTAATTTACTTCTCAGTCATGTCATAAATATAAATCAAGCCCTAGAACGGTGAGTTCTTAAACTTAATTACATCTGAATCACCCAGGGTTCATGCGAAAACTTTTGAGCTTGCACCCATCCACACCTTCCATTCCTCACATCAGAGTCCTAATCAGTAGAATTATTAGGAAGCTCCAGAGGATTCTGAAAGAGGAAGTTCCTAGATGCCTTAGCCCAGAACTGGAAAAATTCTGGAGGTTGGGAAAAAGACCTTTCACTTCCTTAATGAGAAAATAGCCATTGTTTCCACCTGCAAAGCTGTTACGTTATGTTTCTCGACAACAATACATTGTACTTTGTGCTTATCTAAATGGAATCTATAATAGTGAAGCTTTCAGAGGCAGGAAGATTGTTGTCTGGAAATATCTTTGTACTTCTTTGCTGCCAAAGATTTAAAAATGTGTTCCAGTGGTCCTGAATAAACGAGGTTATTGCACAGATTGAAAACAAGTACCACAATGAAAGCAAAATTAGTGTATGTTCCCCTGAAAGCAGAACACAGGAAACTTCATCAATGTGATGGAAACTACTGAGAATAATCAACTGTAACAGTATCATAACACGTAAACAGTATTACTTGCCTGTGTGGTTGTGTAAGCCAAATCACTTTGTAGTTATGTGGACAGTTGTGTTTACTTTTGTTGTATTGGATAGTTTATATATTTTTTTAAAACATACTAAAGTGCAAATACTATATACACATTTTTATTGTTACTACAAACACTTTAGAAAAAGAATAGCACAAACAACAAAGTCTGTGGCATGTTTTATTGCTGTTGTTATATACCAGTGAGTTAGAACTGACTTACGGCTGACCTTCCAGCAGGCTTTCAGAGGCAGTTAATCACAGAGAAAGTAATTGCCCATCCTCCTGTGGAGCAGCTGCTAGATTCAATTCCTACCACGAGGTCCCAGAGTGGATGTGTAAATTTAGGATGCATCTAGGTCAGGGTCAGAAGTCATTATGTATTCTTCTTCTGTACAACCTATTGCTGGCTGCTTGTTGTTAGGTGTCTGTAAGTCAATTATGATTCATAATGACCCTATGAACAACAGATCTGCTGTGTCAACCTCACAATCTTTGACACACTCAAGCGCATTCCTGCAGTCACTGTGTCAATCCACCTGGTTGAGGATCTTCCTGTCCTTCATCATCCCTCTACCTCTCCAAGTATGATGTCCTTCTCCAAGAAATCAACTCTTCTAACAACATGCCCAAAGTAGGCAGGCAAGATGAAGCTTCACCATCCTTGCCTCCAAGGAGCACTCTGGCTGCACCTTCTCCAAGACATATCTGTTTATTCTTTTTGGCAGTCTGTGGGATATTTGGTAGTCTCCTCCCATACCACAACTCAAAGGCATCTTTTTTTCTTCTGTCATCCTTATTTATTGTCTAGGTCTCAGCAGCATAGCAAATGAATTGAAAAGGCTAGTCTAAATCAGGCAAACCTTAGTCCTTAATCTAACATCATTGCTCCTCAATAATTTGGAGGGTTTTGTGACTGCAAACTTTTCTATTGTATTATGTCTCCTGATCTCCTAACTGCTGATACCAAGTGTATATAGACTGTGAATCCAAGTAAATTAAAATCGTTAAGTTTCAACCTTTTCTCCATCTATCATGATGTTGTCTACTGGTCAAGTGGAAATTTTTGTTTTCTTGATGTTGAGATAAAATCCGTACTGAAAGCTGAACGGTGGGGTACCAACTATCTGAGGTCAACCGAGGCTCTGCAGTGCTACTGTGTCATTCCTCCTGGGTGAGATTCTGACTTAGAGGCATTCTGTTGTAATCCTACCTCCTTGGGGCCAAGGACACACATTAAATGTTTAAATCTACAGTTCCTGTTGTACTGAGCAGAATTACCATGGCAACAATCCATCATCAGTAGGGGGAAACTAAGCTAACTCACGATGTTCTAAAATTCCTGGCTAAGAATTGTTTTACTTAAAAAAAAAAATTGCTTTATATTTTTAAATGATATGACCAAAATGGAGAAGAATATTTTTTGACTTGTAAAAGTTATTTAAAATTCAAATTTCAGTGCCCATGAATTAGATATTATTAGAATACAGATGACGAAGAGATTGAGATTGTTCACAGCTTCAGTTTGCTCGGCTCCACAGTCAACACTCTTGGCACCAGCAGTCAGGAAATCAAAAAGCGTATCGCGATGGGAAAGTCTGCTGTTAGGGACCTCTCTAAAGTGCTCAGGAGCAACAGTGTCTCTCTGGAGACTAAGGTGCGCCTGATACAGGCCATGGTATTTGCAATCACCTGTTATGCATCAGAGAGTTGGACAATGACTAGGGAGGACAGAAGGAGAGTGGATGCTTTTGAGCTGTGGTGCTGGAGAAGGGTACTGAATGCACCCTGGACTGCCAGGAAAACAAACAGATTTATCTTGGAGAGGATTAAACCAAGCTACTCCTTGGAGGCAAGGATTCTGGGGCTTCGTCTGACATACTTTGGACATGTTGCCAGGAGGGACGGGTCCTTGGAGAGGGACATCATGCTTGGGAGGGTTGAGGGACAACGCAGGAGGGGAAGACCCTCTATGAGATGGATTGATTCGGTGACTGGGGTAATCGGGATGGGTGTGTCAGAGGCAGTGCAGTTGGCGCAGGATAGAGCAGGGTTTAGGGCTGTTGTGCATAGGGTCGCTATGAGTCGGAAACGACTCGACGGCACATAACAACAACAACAACAACAACAACAATGTATGTATGTATGTATGTATGTATGTATGTATGTATGTATGTATCTATCTATCTATCTATCTATCTATCTATCTATCTATCTATTGCCTGGTCTCTTCTGGTTTCAGTAATAAAGCTGAATAGCTGGGCCAGAGAGCATATGACCTGGAAAATGGCAAATATTTACTCTCTGGCCTAAAATATTTATGAACTTGTGATTTAATTCTCTCTGTTCCTAAAGCTGACATTCTGTGAGTTGATGGTCTTCCACGGTCAACATTTCTGCTTCGTTCCAACTTTATTCTTTAGGTATTTATTTATTTTTCTGGAAAATTTCCATGTCTATGTTTTTAGTTATTAAAGAAAAAGCATCTGAGGAAGAAGCAGATTGGTAATTTTTCACAATATTTTGTTGCAGAAACATGTGGAATTCATTCCAAATACATGAGAGCTGTCTACCCAACCAAAACCTTCCCGAACCATTATACTATTGTCACGGTGAGTGCTGGTGAGTGGCCAGACTGAGAGGCCACTAGCAGGCGAATGACCACACCAGACATGCTCAATCAGGAACTGGCTGAGCCGCCTCCTCATGCCATACCCTTTCACAGGCACATGAGGTGGCAGTTTGAGGCTTGAGGCTGGGCAGGGGGGGGGTCTCAACATGAGGCTTTGATTGTTTATGGGGCATCTCAGTTGAGAATCATGGATGAGTGTCCCAGTTTCAGACTAATTTGCCACGAAAAGCTACCAGGATAACCTCTCTGAAGTGAAAAAAAAGCGTTTGCCCATAGTCATTTTTTATCCTTTATTTCTTTGAAGACCTGCTGGGAAATAGGAGACTGTACATGAAGACAATCACTTTGACAAAGGGAAATAATTCTTATCCTAGTTTTTTCCATTATATGATTGTTTGCCATAAAGTCGGGACTGGTAGCTGACCCTCCAAGCAGGTTTTCAGAGACAGTAAACTGTACAGGAGAATGCCCATCTTTCTCCCACAGAGTAGCTGGCTCTGGGATGCACAGCTGCTTACAGAGCCCACTGATGGCTTTATTTGTTATGTTTAACTTCTTCAATACTTTTGCTTCATAAGTGAGTTTATATTAGTGGCAATTTTAGATAAAGAGATTAAAGGTAATGAAGTCTACTCAGTGGATGAATATACATGTTTTCAGATATCATTAATTCTTCCCTACTTCACTTTTTCTGTTGGAAATATTAAAATGAACTCAAAGGAAAGGTAAATCATTTAGGATTCATGGATTTATGAGACATCCTAAGGAGTATTCTGCCTTGGGCTTTATCATCAGAAGATATTTATGTCTTTATTACCTTATATTTTTTTCTTTTATTACCATGAAACAATAACTATAACATTGTTGTTTTATGCTGTATAGTTGGAACCAACCCATAGCTGACCCTCCAACTCATAGCTGGCCTTCTGACCCATAGCTGACCCTCCCACCCAGAGCTGACCCTCTGGTGGGTTTGCAGAGGTAGTTAATCTCAAGGAGCGATATTGCCCATCCTTCTCCTGTGGAGCAGCTGGTGGCCTCACACCATATGCCTTCTGGATTGCAGTACAGCTTCTTGCCACTAGGCCACCAGAGCGCCCTAATTATAACTTTCTTAAATTTAACCCTTTCAGAATTATTTGGCCATGTAGCCAGTAGGGGCCAGTCTTTAGAGAAGGACATGATGCTTAGAAGTGTCAAGGGACAGCACAGGAGAGGAAGATCCTAGATGAGATGGGTTGACACAATAACTGGGGTAATGAGGGTAGGTGTGGTGGACAGTGTTTAGTGGAGCTCCCAGATTAAAACAGGCTTGGAAACAGGAGTGGCATCCACTTTCAAAATAGCTTGCCTCTGGAAAAACTCTATGAACTTGGAGAAACGAAGAAAGTTATACAAGTGTTCAGGTCTTTTGATCATAGGGTCGCTATGAGTCGTCTACGACTTGGCGACACTTAACAACAATAGCAACAATGATACACACATAGATATATACTTACACACACACATATACAAACATACAGACATGCATATTTACACACACATGCACACATAGAGTTCTGACACAATGACCCTAAAACCTTTCTAAAATAGTTAAACCATACAGGACATAGTATGGAATTAAAATATGTGGAATTATTATTGAACGAATATGTGCTTAGATTGAAGGACATTGGATGGATACATTTACATTGTTATATTGACAACTTTCCTAAATAAGACTTATTGGTCTTATGATATTTGAATATATATATATATATATAAAACTAATCCACCATTTTTTCTTATGTCTATTTCTGTCTCTGTTTCTCTCCCCCGCCCCCCTCTCTGTAAATTTCAGGGCTTGTATCCAGAATCTCATGGTATCATCGACAATAATATGTATGATGTAAACCTCAACAAGAATTTTTCACTTTCATCAAGTGAACAAAAGAACTCCGCTTGGTGGGGTGGACAGCCAGTAAGTAACATCCTCACTTGTGGAATCCATGTAGCCTCCACCTCCAGTATGAGGGCAAACATGTGGACGGAGCAAAGGGTTTGCCATTTCTCTCTACTCGCAAGTTTACATTGTCCATGTAGTTTCAAGGGTACATGTTGTACGTTATGTATAATTTAAATTTTGAAAAATATATGGTTATTCACTGCATTGGTCTTGTCCTAAACTTGGGCACTGTGTTAGAAAGGAACCAATCCGGAAGTTATTCAGAATACAAATTTCTCTCATTCCATTTATAATTCACGGAAAGAGGAATTAAAACTGTCAATCTTGACCAATTTTTTAAATTTACTCTTTTTTTCCAAATTTTAATCAATTGGAGGGGGGAAAAATCTTTTCTATTAACTATTTTTCTGATTTTGGAGGCTACCCCCTGCTTAATTAGTTTTCTAACTGATACATAAATACAATTTAAAGAATTCAGGCATATTTTATAAATTAGGTACACTTTGCAGATGTAAACGTTTCATTTCTGATAAGGTGGACCATATCAACCCAAACTCATTATTCTATTGATTTTCTGTCATCTTAAAACAATTTTCTCTTGCAGATCTGGCTGACAGCAGAGTATCAAGGTTTAAAGTCAGGTACCTACTTTTGGCCAGGATCAGATGTGGCTATAAACGGCTCTTTTCCTTCCAAATATGTGCTTTATAAGAAGTAAGTAAAGTACTTTCCAATATGATCTCCTCTATACAGGAGTGATTAGCAGGGCCCCCCACCCCTCAAGCCTTAATCTTGATATTAATTCTATTTTAGTAATTTAGGGTAAAGTTTCTTGAAATTATCACTGATTCCATCTATCAGTAAATGCTTTTAGCCCTGATTCAAAATATATGCAAGATATGAGAACTCTTTATTGTCCCTAACATTAAAAGCCATGCTGGGTTAAGCATCAACATCGTTTGTCTTTTTTCTATACTTGCTTCTTTTTAAGTCTCTCTGCCTCTTTTCTTGCTTACTATAATATACTGTTAATCCACCAGCCAGAAGGAGTACTTTAAGAATGAAATCCATTTATAACTCTTCTTTTTTTTTTTTTTTTAAATCAAAACCCTTGATGGTTGCCTGTTTTACTCAGAATAAATCTCTACCAGGACCTGTGCAGTATGACCAGCACCATGCTACTACCTATCAAACTGTCGTCTCCCATTGTTCCCCGACATGCTATTCCATCATAGCCTCTTCAGACCTCTTCTCTGGACCTCAGACCCACTAAGTTTCCTTCCTCTGTGGGGTCATTGCACTGGCTGTTTCCTCTGCTGAAGGTGGTCTCAACCTACATATTCACACAACCAATATCCTTGCCTCTTTTTAGGCCTTTGTTTAGAAAGTCATCTCCAAATTCTTCTGTAGGAAATTTGTCAAATACTTTTACCCCAATCACATTACAATTACAAATTCCCTATCACCTCATCCCAGTCTCTCTGTGCCCTAGCTTTTCTCTCTTTGTTTTTATATAGCAAGTATTACTTGTAATACACTCTGTAATTCTGTCATGTATTAGATCCAAGTTTGTTGCTTATCTTTCCCACTGGAACATAATCTCCAAGAAGTCAGGATTCTTTGTTTTGTTCCCTGATACACTTTGTTTTCAGTGAGCAATGTGCAACTAACAGTAGGTGCTCATTATATACACAAATGCCTAAATGAAGGAAATGGACTAAACTAAACAAATAAATTGAATAGTGCATGGCCTTTTGTTACATTGTTGTTGGGTATTGCCAAATCCACTATGACTCGTAGCTGCCCTATGAACAACAAATGGAAAGTTTGCCCTGTCTGGCTGCGTCCTGTGAGGTCAATACAAGACAGTCTCAACTGTGTTCAAGTCCACTTGAGTTGCATTATTTTAGTTGGGGTAAAATTATACTTTTTAAAAAAATGGTGCATCTATATTTATGCATAATATACAGAAATGAGAAAGCCCTTTGAATAACGCTAAATCCCTTTCAGTATTTTCACTGTATGTTGTTATTATGTACCATGGAGTCAGAACTGCTTCATAGCTGACCCTCCTGCAGGTTTTCAGAGGCAGTAAGTTGCATGCCCATCTTTCTCCTGCAAAGCAGCTGATGGATTCTGGCAACCTTTGGGGTTAGCAGTGCAGCACAAAATGACTATCTGAAAATATTGCCCTGCCATCTTGAATAAGCTTATAATGAGACGATTCTTTTTATTGTTATTTTGGTGAAAGCTTACACACTATGTTTCATGGCACCGGCACAATTGCAACTCATATGCCATCACAATCCTCTTTTCTTCCCTTCCTGTTTACTCTTTCCCTGCATCCTTCTTGCCTGTTCCAATTTGCCTCTGATTTCGGTCTCTGCCTTAAATCTGACCTTTTGATCTTAAATGGTTGATTGTTCAAAGGAATGTGCACCGCCCTGGTGTTTCTAGTAGTTCATCTTTTAGGCTTTTGTTTTATTTGGCTAAAGTTGAACCTTGGGAATGATTTCTGTTCTAGGCCTGAAAGGGCCATGGGGGGTGGTGAAGGGGGTGGAGGGTTGTTGGAAGGCGGTGGAGAGATGTACAAGTCTTAGATCAGTGAGTTGCCCTCCCCAACTTTTTTTCTCTTGGTTAATATTATGTTTTGTGTTCACGGTACATCAATTATTATAGAGATTTCCTATAAACCATCTTTTTAAAAAAATTATTTTATTAATTTTAATGAACATTTACAGAGATTTTGGATTTCCGTTCATTGATTGTTGCACTTTTCTCCCTGCCCAGCCCTCCCCCCACCTCCAGTTTGCTCCTCTCTTTGAAAAGCAAAAGAAAAATTCCTTATTTGGTGTACAGTCCCCCTGCACCCCTCCCATAGGCCCGAATACATTCCACTCTGCAAACTTAATTCTGGACATTATGCTGAGTGAAATATCCCTGTCACAAAAGGACAAATACTGCATGGTGCCACTGTTGTAGAATGGGACTGACATCAGGGTTGGGGTAAGGCTGAGAAAAACTGGATAAATTATGTATACTGCATTGAAACAGATGAGGGAGTGAATAATTTAAAAGCGATATATGATTAGGTATTGTGGTTATCACAAGACTCCCCAACTTTTTAATGTGCTCGTTTTTTAAAAAAAATGTTTTTATTATTTCTTTTAAGTAATGTTCCATATGAAGAGAGAATCTCTACGTTGTTGAAATGGCTGGATCTACCCAAAGCTGAAAGGTAACACCTATTACTAGAGAAACGGTAGATGTCACAGTGGAGTATACTCTACTGCTCTTACTTCCAGCTCACAGAGACCTCATAGGGCAGAGTAGAACTGACCCATAGGGTCCAAAGTTGAGGATGTAAATTATCTTTATGGGAAGAGATTGCTTCATCTTCCTCCTGAAGAGTTGGTGGGTTTGAACTGTCAACCTTTCCATTGGGAAAGAAATGCTTAACTCACCAAGCCACCACATATCCTATAGTGGGATATACATTAAAGAAAAGAAAATTATATCCTTATTTTAAATGACATTTTTTAGGGGAGAAAACCCAACCAAAATTGCCTAGAATTGCCATTTGATGAGCACTTTTGCTGTAGAGCTGTGTGGACACTATTAAATATCTGGGAGGGCTGGTGTTAGAGGACAGAGGCAGAGAGCACAGGAGCTGGTGGAGAGGAAGGGGAGGGCTGGATGTGGGTCTGAAAGTTGGTTGTGCAACCTGAATGTAGATACTAGAGCTTAGGGTAAGTGACAGCGTGCGGTCAGAGCATACTGACAAGGGAGCACCAGGGAAACAGTGCAAAGGAAACTAGGCTTTTAAAGAGACACCTTGGTGTGGATAGATACCAGAGGTAAGAACGAAAAGTCAGCAGAAGTCAGAAACAGGAAATATAAAGGCCTGGGGTACACCAAGAAAGCAAGCAAGAACAAGACAGATGTTCTTAAATGGAGTCATATCAGGAAGGAATGGTTTACTTCCTGTTAGGACACCTGGGTCAAAGTGGAACCACCTGAGAAAGGGAGTTCAGACAGAGAGAGAAGGCAACTGACAGCAAGTTCTAGGTCTAGAAAATCCCTCAGTCCAACCATTGGGCTTATTCTAAGTTGACGTTGTCTTTTTCCTTTTGGATTTTACCGCTAGACCCACATTTTACACCTTGTATGTGGAACAGCCTGATTCTGCAGGACACGATGGTGGACCAGTCAGTGCCAAAGTAAGACATTTTTGTGTTTGTTTTATAATTTAATATTATATAATATATAATGTGTTTGTTTCACCTTAACCTGCAAAACCCCCTACCTCATGAACCACATCTTGTTTCATTTGATATGCATTTATTTAATATTCACATATACCATTATAATTTCATATCATATCATATCATGATGCTTAAATATTACATTTGCTAATCTAGTTCAGTAGTGTGGCCCATTGAAACTAATTTCTTTTGGTAAATCCATCACCATTTATTCTCTTCATGAGTTCCTTATCATTGGAATTAATATTATTGTCTAAACCAAAGTTACTTTCCTCCTGTGTTGTTGTTGTTATGTGCTGTCGAGTAGACTATGACTCATAACGACCCTATGAACAATAGCGCTGAACCCTGCCAAACTCCCATTCTCATGGAAGTAAAAACACTGTAGTAATGATTTCTTCATTATCCAATGAATTTCTTCATTACTATAATCCATTGTGATTTAACTACAAAGCTAATATTTCTTTTTTTAAACTAATATTTCTTAAATACTATTTGTTTAAATCATTTTCTTTAGTGAAATCTATTGTAGCCCACATTTTCTTGAACAAAAGTAAAGGTGCGAAGGACCCCATTAGTATGCCATTTTTCTACCCTGTAGAAAGTAATTTCAAATATTTGTCCTCAATTGTAATACTATAAGCAAATGTGTTTATTTGGACAAACTGCTTTTGTCCTTTACCATAATGGCCTTTTTTCTCCTGTGTATTTCAACACCATTCTTGATAATATCACAGGATGACTCAGAAATTATCTAAAACGTATTCATTGTTTCTTCTTTTATATTTCAAAAGCCATTAATATTTTCATGATGTAATATATTTAAGGTCTTTCCAGTATTTGGTAGGCGAAAGAAAAAAAAAGAAAATATTGTTTTAATAATACTAGGGGACAGTAAAGATGTTTCCCTGATCCATTACCACTGTATCTTCTTTTTATTTCTTTATTGTAAAGATTTTTCACTGTGGTTGGAATGAAAGCTAGCAGAGCAGATTGGAGTTCTGGTAAACGCTTTAAGCATATTTTCTTTCATGACATGGATTAAAGTCCCCGCCTTACAGCCGTGCTTCTCCCACTGTCTCTTTGAGGTTTTGTTTCTGTTTATTCTTCTATCCTTCCCCTCCCTACTCTCTGAGGTCTATCCCTGGTCCAGTGCTGTGCTTTTGATCTTGTATGGTGGATTGTTCCAAGGACCGAGAGCCTCCCTGCCACTATTGTTCTCCTTCCAGATCTCTCTGCTGTTTGACATTGAGTTGTGTCATGTTATTATATTTCCTTAGTTACTGAACAATCCCAGTGCACTATCCTGGCAATAATGTATAGGAAAAATGAAAAGCATAGATGAGTATATAACATAAAATAAAAATAAGCTTTCATTTCACTCTTTAGAGGTGAACACTGTTATCAGTGTTTCAGCATAGTTTCTTAGAATTTTTGTGCATGTGTGTGTGTGGTTTTTTTTACAATGTCATGAGTGGTTTTGTTTGCTAGTCTCCATTTATTTTTACTATAATTATTTACACAAGAGAAAAGTTCAGAAGTAGAAGTACTAGACTACAAGATAATGCACATTTTTAACTCTCTAGTTTTACATTATCGCATGATTCTCCAAGTACTTTAGACTTCCATAGATATTCCTGTGAATCTTCCTTCTCCAGATAGAGCAAAATCCTGTGAATGTTTGCAGTGGAATAGAATCTGAGGTTAAAAATCAGTCTACCACACATCAGGCATATTTTCAGGAGGGGCCAGACCTTAAAAAAAAAGACATCATGTTTGGAAAGATGGAGGGTCAGAGAAAGAGAGAAAGACCCTCAACGAGATGTGCCCCACAGTCCCTGTAACGATGAACATACAGAAGATGATGAGGACGGCCCAGCAGAGGGCGAGGTTCACATCTGTTCTACCACTTCTGTCCTAGTCATGGCTGGCTGGAGAACACATAACAACAGCAACAATGATATTTTCATTTGTAGCAACACTGCTGCATTTTTTTTCTATCAAAACGTACAGAATTAATACCGATAAAGGTAATAGAATAGACACTGGATTTCTGTGTCATATTTTTAAAAATACCTAGTGATTTGAATGAAGGACTTGTGTATAATTTTTACTTAATTAGATAAAGCTTTGGTCAACTAAAACAATTCATGAAAAAAATGCTAACTTGTTTTTCCTTAGGTTATTCAAGCCTTGCAAGTTGTAGATCAAGCATTTGGAATGTTGATGGAAGGCCTAAAACAGCGGAACTTACATAATTGTGTCAATCTTATCCTTTTGGCTGATCACGGTATGCTTTTTGAAGCCATATGTTATAATACATTGCTATTTATCTCTCCAGATAACATACAAAAAAATAGTAGTTATGTTTTACAGTACGTTCTCCTATACTTGGAAGTTTTTGAATAAGAAAAGGGTGAGTTTTGTTGTAACTCTATAGTGATTAGAGAGCTAAAATGAAAATGTCAAGCTTAACTATCCTAACATAAAATTTGAAAAAGATGTTAGTAACACTTACCATGGATATGATTGTTGTTATTTAATGGTGTTTTTAAATACCGTAAATATTTTTTAGCTGCTGATTCATTCATACACGTTGAGTGCGATTTATTATCTTGGTTAATTTTGCCAAACCATTGTATTTTTTTTTTTAAAGTAAGATATAATCATAGTTTAGGGACCTCTGGTGGCCTAGTGGTAGGAAGCAGGGGATATCCTTCATTTTGATTTATTGTTTAGTGATTACTTCAGGGCAGTAATTTTGGAGGTTCATTTAGTCCAATGACTCCAGGAAGTCTGGATTTCATAGAAATTTGATGTTTATTCTGTATTCTCTCTCTTTTGATTTATATGAAAAATTTTAATCTAAAAAGTTATGCCTTGTTATGGATATATCAGGTATTTGTGTGTTTCTTAGACTTTGCAGAGGATTTTATGTCTTCAAAATTGTTTACTGAATCTTCATTGAACAAATGCACTTCTAGCCCAAAGCCAGCTCCTCCCTGGAGGTTCAACTCCTCCAGTAGCTCATTGGGAGAGAGCTGAGCGTGTCCTGTGTGACTTATAACCTCAGCAACCTGCTGGAATGTCAGCTATGTGTCGGCTCCAACGCGATGCCAATGGACTTGGGTTTTATGAGTTTTGAACAAATTATCTCTTTATAACTGCTGTGCTCTTGTAAATGTGACCCTTTTCTCCAGTGACAGTTTTCCAGTTCTGCTAAGTAGGTTCAAATAACAAGTTAAATTGTGAAGTTTATCAATGAAACTTGGTTTTAGTAACAAAATCTGTCCTACTTGATATGATCAGAGATTATTCCTAATATTAATTCATACTAATAAATACTAATAGTAATTATAATTTATATGATTACATAATTTATATATTTAGGATTATTTCTATTTGTATATATTATATGTAATTTATAATTATAATGCATTAATAAATTACTAAGAAATACTAATTCATACTATTGGAGTACTGATACTATTCAGTACTATTATGCAGTAAAAAATGGTTCTTTTTGATTTAGGAATGGAGCAGACTTATTGTGACAAGATGGAATATATGACAGATTACTTTCCTCAAATAAACTTCTTTTACATGTATGAAGGACCAGCACCTCGTATCAGGTCTCGTAATATACCACAAGACTTCTATACCTGTGAGTATGAAGACTGTCATATAAAACATATGTTAAATCCAAAAATTAATAGCAATAGCACTCTGGTTATGTGAGATTGTAAGGGCTCATCAGACCTCCTTTCTGACCTTTTGATTAGACTACAAAAAGTGAAGGAGAAGTTCTCAAGTTTAGTTATAATAAAGTCTATGATAATGTCCACTTTTATTAGGTTTGTGTGTATTCTACCCTGTTCTTAAATCCCACATAATTCTTTGCTTAAAATTATCTTTTATTTAATTTACTAGATGATAGTCATTAAGAATTAGATGCATCAAATTCACTTGAGTTATTCACATATTTATAACTATTTTGAATGTAATCAATTTTTTCTTTTGAAACAGTTAACTCTGAAGAAATTGTTAAGAACCTCAGTGTAAGTATAGTTTCCTCAATACATTTATTTAATTTAATGTGATGACTTGTAATTTGAATTTCCAAATAAAATTTATAGGATTTTGTGTTCTGTATCTCTAAGTCAGGCCATGATTTTTGCTGTCACTTGTTATGCATCAGAAAGTTGGACAATGACTAAGGAGGCTAGAAGGAGAATTGATGCCTTTGAGCTGTGGTGCTGGAGAAGAGTATTGAGGGTACCGTGGACTGCTAGGAAAACAAACAGATTCATTCTGCAAAGGGTTAAACCAGGCGGCCCCTTGGAGGGAAGGATTCTGACTCTCCATCTAACATACTTTAGACATGTTGTAAGGAGAGACTGGTCCTTGGAGAGGGACATCATGCTTGGGAGGGTTGAGGGACAGCTCAGGAGGGGAAGGCCCTCTATGAGGTGGATTGATTCAGTGATTGGCGTAATCGGGATGGGAGTGTCAGAGACAGTGCGATTGGCACAGGATAGAGCAGAGTTTACGGCTCTTGTACATAGGGTCGCTATGAGTCGCAAGCGACTCAACAGCACATAACAACAACAACAACATCTCTAAGTCAAAAGCCACTTGTAAATTTTTTAAAACCATTGATCAAAATTAGTTTAAGTGTGAATCATTATTTTCTCATTCACTGCTGTCAAGTCAGTTCTCACTCATAGAGTCCTTCTATTGATTTTCTGAGAGACTATAAATCATGAAAAGAGACTCCCCGTCTTTACCCCACGGACCTGCTGGGGAACTCTAACTGTTGGGGTAGTTCAGCCTTTGAGTTAGCAGGGCAGCTTGCTATGAACTAGTATGCCTCCAGAGCTAATTTTATTTGGGGATTATTGCCCCTGCCAAAAGTTAGCTTGGGATAGACATAGTTCTGATTTCTAATTTTGCTGAGACGGCAGATATTCCATTCAGAAAAGATATGCCATTCAGGCAAGTTCACCTTTCTTTTTTTTTTTTAATGACTAAATATGAGAAAATAATGAATCATCGACTCAGGTCTTTTTTTTAGAGATCAGAAAGATCTACTTCTACTTACTGAATATACTTTCAACTGATTTTGATTGGCTTTCACATTTTAGTTTTTAAGGAAATTACCAAGACATAATTTAGATAACTTTAAGCAGTGTCTTAATGGAATCCATTACAGCTTGAAACACTGTCGCTTCATTAAAACAGATTCTCTCTTAAGTATTAATAATTCCTTCCCCCCCACCCCTCCACCCCAACTATAACTTCTAACACCTAAAGTAATACCTTAGAGTAATCATGGTAAACAATCTTCTTCCTTCCTAGTGAAGTGTAGACACAGTATTTATTCTTGTTGAATTTGCAAATTGTAGTTTACATTTTCCGCATATACATTCTTGAAATGTTGTTATGTGCTATTGAGTTGCTTGCGTACAACAGCTCTGAACCCTGCTCTATCCTGAGCCAACCTTACTGTCTCTAACACATCTACCCTGAGTCAATCCATTTCATAGAGGGTCTTCCCCTCCTCCTCTGTCTCTCCACCCTCCCAAGCATGATGTCCCTCTCCAAGGACTGGTCCCTCCTTGCAACATGTCCAAAGTATGTCAGATGAAGCTTCAGAATCTTTGCCTCCAAGGAGCAGCTTGATTTCCCCCTCCCCAGAATGAACGTATTTTTTCTTGAAATACACATGCCAAATTCCTTTTTTTCTGATAGTCATCCTCTAAATAGCTGGCCTCTGTTGGTGGGGAAGGACAAATTTCTAATAATCCTAGTAGGTTTAAGGATTGGGAGCTTGGGGATTGATAAATTCATTCTATGACACCACAGACATAGATGGATGCAGCTGGTGGATTTGAACCAAAAGAGACAGCTTTTTGGGTCAGCAGGGCAAATATACAACCAGAGCACCAAAGAACAGTTTAACTTAACTGGGAAAGAATGTCTCCCTTGATCCTTAAGCCCTTTTAAGACCTATTTTTTATTTTTTTATTTTCTGAAATACTTTATTTAGACTTGGTGACAGTTTTTCTCTGATTGTTTGTTAAAATTTACTAGTAAAACTATCTGGTCCAGGTCTTTTGTTGTTAGTTAAGACCTATTTTTATGGGATCAAACAGACACCACCAACTTAAAAGATTAGATAGGACACTTAGAAAACAGTGAGTTTATGCTAATGGAGAAGGAATATCTGAGAATCAAAAGTGAGAATGGATTCACAACTTGGAGAATATAATTAATGTCACTGGTGCAGCAGAGACCCAAAGAAATGGTCTGTCATGTCATGCAGTGTTCCTCCATGTGTCACATGTCACTCCTTTATTTCTGGGAAAAAATTTGCATAGTGTACAGTATCCCTAGTTATACTATTCTGTGCTGTGTTTCCATTGAACAAATAGAATAAAAACATGAACTGGCAACTCTGAGATTTCACCATATACTGGGTGCATAAGAACCATCAGCATCAACTTTATTTTCAGGGAAAAGGACCAAATTTTATCTTATGTTCAGTATCTTCCTCCCAAACTGTGAAATGTAAAGATTAGTTCAATATTTCTTACTAGGATGGCAATATTCCACCTGTGTTCTCTGTGTTTACTCTGACTACACTCTGGTTCAGAAGATGTGACTAGTCATATTAACTGTGGCTGTCAGGGGCACATACTAGTTCCTCTCATCTGGGGGGAAAGTGTATACTGAGAAGTTACTATTATATACCTACCAGAAAATGAGAAAAAATATTGTCTGAAGAAGGAAGTAATGATTATTGAAAAAGTGAAAACATGGGGGATAAAGATAAGACCAGAATAGGAAGAAAACCTGACAAAAATATATGTGCAACAAAACCTTTTTATTCTTTCTTTCTATCCACTCCTTGATTGCGCATTTCCTTCTTAGACTATGTTTGATTCAGTCACGTACTTTCTATTATTATTAGTATTTATATATTGAGGTTTAGAAGAAATGAGAACAATGAGGAAGTAGATAAAAATGATTTCCTCATATTTCTACCTTTATGAGTTTTCCCCTTTGTTCTTTCAAAAAGGTCATGAGGATGAAAAAAGCACCTTTGTAAATTTTTGTAGTTTAAAGTAAATGAGAAAAATGAAGAAAGTGAATTGTTTTTCCCTAGCCTGGCCTTTATATTTCTTTTTAATCTTCTTGTACTCAACAAGATCATAGGAAGAAAATATCCCTTTGTATATTTCTCATTCTTCATTTTTATTAGGATATCAATGTGATTTGCGTTTTGACAAAACATAAAAAATTAAATTTAAAAAAATAGCTAGTTACAGCAGTCATTATGAAATAAATAGTATTTCACCCAATTTGTGTAGAATTGATGATTTTTACAAAAGAGAAATTGTATTAGGTTTCAAAATTGCTTGCCTTTATTGAAATTAGCAAATGTTGTGTTATTTAAAAGAAAAATTAATTGGGAAGAAATTCACAGTTTAAACTGACTTTTAAAAATGTTTATCCTCATCTGCTGTTACTGTCAATATTTTTAATACACAATGGAGATTCAAATTTTGTAACGCCAAATGTGTGTAATGTCACTCTAAATCTAGACTTCGTATTTAGATATTGTTGTTGTTAGGGACCTGGAGTCAGTTCCGACTCATAGCTACTCTGTGTCCTATTTTCACAAAAGTGGCCTTATGTGATATTTGTTTTTATGTGATTGGGATATTTCACTCAGCAAAATGCTTTCTTGTCTCTTCCAAGTAAGATAGTATTTTATGAAATTGCTCCTCCTTAATGCTGCATAGTATTCCATCATGTGAACGTACTATAATTCTCTCTGCTGTTCCTCTTAAGTCTTCTCCATAATCATTATTCTGTTTCTGTCATTATGGATTAGTTTGATTTCTAACATTTTATATAAAGGAGGATCATATAATATATAGAAGATATTTCTAGTGCAAAATTTTTGGAAAACAGCACGTGAGACTGAACCATCCTCACAATCAGTGTTGTACTTGTTGTAGCCACTGTGTCGAAGAAAGTGAGCTTTGTGGTGATTTAAAATATGTATACCCCCAAAAAAACCCTTGAAACATCAAATACCAAATCTTTTTTTTTTCAAATACCAAATCTTAATTTAAAATGTATTTTTAGTTTTAATCTGAAAGTTGTAGCAAGATAAATAGGGAATGCAATCAAATTGATAGTAGGTTTAACGTTCTTATTTTATTGACTGGCTTCAATCGCCTTGCTTTTCAAGACTGTTAACAAATTGACTCAGGAACCCCAGTGGTGCAGTGGTTAAAGGGTAAGCTTCTAATCTAAAGGCAATCAGTTTGAACCTACCAGCCACTCTGTGGGAGAAAGTTGTAGCAGCCAGTTTACAGATTGACTCTACGCTGTCCTGCTGGGTCACAAGGGCTCAGAAGTGACTTGGCCACACATAGCAAAATCATTATATCGTTTTAGGAGATGAGACTGTTGAATTGATTAACACATTGTATGTTTCATGAAGAAATAATTATTTTTTCAGTGCCGAAGATCTGAACAGCATTTCAAACCGTATTTGACTCCTGATTTACCAAAACGACTGCACTATGCCAACAATGTCAGAATTGACAAAGTTCATCTTCTGGTGGACCGGCAGTGGCTAGCTGTGAGGTTAGTAGATCTACTTATTTAGTGCAAGATATCTTGAACAACCACTTTTCACTATCAATTTACTTAACCTATCCTGGGCTTGACCATATATTTTTCCTGAGCATGTACATTTTCTTGGACTTTTGCGTGCTACCTAGCACTTCTCTATTTGAAATTCTTGTAATGAGATTGGTGTCCATAGCTTCCTAACCTTCACTTTCTATATGAGTGTGATGCAGAAGGCAAACACTCCTGCTGCCACTCTCAGTGGGTCCCTAACCTTGCTGTGGTCCCTCTTTGACAGTAGAAAGGATAAAGATGACTCCTGTTATCACCCAGGCTGGCAGTGAGTGGATAGCTAGATGGTTCTTAAAATCTGTAATCTTTGTGATTTTTAGAAGGGAACATTGTTATGACTTCTTATTCTATCCTAACTAATTTTTATAGTTGCTATCTTTTGTTCTAACTAAAAATAGAATTTGTTACTTGTTGAGCAGTTGAAAAAATCTAAGAATGTTTAGAAAGAGAGAAAAAAATTAGAACCACTCCATCCTGAAATAACCAATCGAGTTAATGGCATTTTATTGAATACTTGCTCTGTGGGTGATAGACCCTGTTGCGAGCATTGGGGTCATTGACAATTGCTGCCTTCATGATAAACACTTTATGCCCTCTAGTGGAGGACGTTGACAATAAGCTAGTAAACAAATAGATCCATACTGCTTTGTAGTTGAGTATTAGCATGCTCTTTAGAGAGTTCAGTGTTGACCCAGAGGCTGTTTCACTCTGGTAACCTCTACGGACCCAGCAGCAGCTCTGTGTGGGTAAGATGAGCAATCTCTTCCTGTGCAATTTACAGCCTCTGAAATTCAATAGTGACTGGGCTATGAATTGGTTCTGACTTGACAATGCTGAATTGAGTTTTCAATTTGATAAGTGAGTAAGGAGCATGGTGCAGCCAGAAGGATGGTGGTTCACGCCAACCTGCCGCTACAGTGGAGAAGAAAGAGGAATTCTGCTTCCTGTGAGTTTTACAGTCCTGGAAACATTAACTGGCTGGTCTACTCTTTGTTGCAGAATTACTCTGTTGGAGCCAACTTGATGGGAGTACATTTTGGGGGAGTTTTTGTACTAAAACTGTGAAGTCTTTGTGGCACATGGGGTTGGCACTTAACTGCTTACTGAAAGTTATGCCACTCAAGAACCCAGCCACTCTATGTGAGAAACTGTGACAGTTGTCTTCACAGAGATGACAGTTGAAGGAACACCGGGGATATCTCTGCTCTGTTTTGGGGGTTGGTGGGGTGATGTGTCTCTGTTTCTCAGAATCAACTTGGTGACATTGGAGATAGGATTTTGGTTGTTAATTTAATATTTCCTATATTTTTAAAAAATTTAACTTTATACAAATTTGCATAGAAAATTTGTAAACATTGTGTTTCTTTCATGTACATTGTGTTTCATACATTCTTTCATTCACATTGTTTCATACAATCATTCTCTTACAGTATGTTTTATAAAATCATTCACCTTTGATCTATGCCCACTATCACCCCATCTTTTCAGTTCCCTACTAAAACTATTGTAATTCCTTCACTCCCATTTTTTAAATATTCTAGTGTTTTTTTTCCATGTGTATGTGATATTATTAAGTAGTTTTCTGTTGTTGCTATTGTTAAGTGCCTTCCAGTGGACTATGACTCTGAACAACCCTATGAGCAATATAGCTGAATCTTGCCATTTCCTGCACCAACATCATGATCTCTGTCCTGTTCAAGCCCATTGTCTTGTCTCTATGTCAGTCCTTTTTATTGAGAGTCTTTTTCTCTTTCTCAGAACTTTCACCTTTCCCAGCATGATGTCTTTTCCTAAGGAATAGTCAGTCCCTCTTGCAAACACGCCCAAAGTATATGGGGAGTTTCACCATTCTTACCTTTAAGAAGCATGCTCATTTTATTTCCTCTAAGACAGTTCATTCTTTTGGAAGATCATGGGATATTTCATTCCCTTCATCAAATACAATTCAAGAGCATTCATTCTTTCTTAATCTTTCTTAGTTATTGTCCAACTTTGACTGAATATGAAGCAATTGAAAATTACTTGGGTCAGGTAAACCTTAGTCTTTAAACTGACACCATTGCTCTTTAGCACTTCAAAGAGATCCTTGACAACAGATTTTCCCAATGTAACACATTATTGTTTTCTTCACTACTCCTACCATGGGTCTTAATTATATAATCAAATAAGATTAAATTATTAATAACTTCAATCTTTTCTCCATCTATCATGATGTTGCCTACTGGTCAATTTGTGAGGACTTTTGTTTTCTTAATGTTGAGATACAATTTATATTAAAGGTTTTGATTTTTAGTACATGCTTTAACATTACTTTCTATAAGCAAGATTTTGTCATTCCTGCTTAATGCATAATGTGGGTTGTTTGAGTTTTCCTTCTATCCTGATGGCACATTCTTCTTTCTATAATCCACCTTCTTGATTTATTTGCTCAGCATACCAACTGATTAGGTGTGGAGAAGGGATATCACCTTGGCGCAAATACTTCCTGATTTTAAACTATGTAGTGTTCCCTTGTTCTGTTTGGACACCTGCTTCTTGGTCTATGTATACATTTCCCATGAGCACAATTGAGTATACTGAAATTCCCATTCTTCTCATTGTTACCTATAATCTAGCATTATTCACAGACTTGAATGTCTTTGCATAGTTAATAAATTCACAAGAAAACATTTTTCTGGTATTCTTTGCTTTCAGCTAAGATTCACCTGACATTAGCCAGGACATCACATCCCTCAGGTGTACTTAAGTCTTCATTCTGACATTGTGCTATTTGACACTCTGGAGAAGTCTCTGACTGCAGATTTTCCCAATGCAACTCCTCTTGATTTCCTTACTGTTGTTATCAAAGGTGTTGATTGTGAATCCAACCAAAATGAAATTGTTAACAACTTCAATCTTTCCCCCTCAATTTCACCTTGGCCATTAGCAGTTTGTGTGTACATTTGAGTAGTAATTTTTATATTAATAGCTCTTCCTTGTATATGTATGAATAGTATCTTATCACAACAGTCATGATACATTTTAAAATTCTAGTTTCATCTGTAACTGTGATTCCATTTCTCTTTAATCATCCATCCTATGATTGTTTGATTCAAAGTAATCACTGCCAGTTCATCTCAGTGCACAGATGCCTAGGATGCCTGTCTTTATACGTTCTATTTAATTTTTGATGATTTCCAATTTTCCAACTAGATTGTATTGGTTTCTTTTTTTTTTAGGCGATTGTAAGATGTTTATATTTGCTATTATGTACAGTAATAGTTATCCATAATTCACAAAAATATGTGAGTTATATTTTTTTATTCCCTTTTTAAGGTAAAATTGAGTTTCAGAAAGGGGGAATAAATTTATTTCATTTCACAGAACTACTAAGTTGCATAACTAACTCCCAAATTATTTTTTTTAATGTAAGTTGTTTATTTTTCATTTCTTATGTTTTATAACTTTATAAACTCAAGCAGTAAGACACTAACGAGACCCACAAACTTTCAAATTAGAAGTCATTGCCTATCCATAGTTCCCTGAGGCTGTAAGTCCTGTTGGAGGAGATTGCCTTTTGTTTTCCCTTGGAACTGGAGTGACTGACTGGTGGAGTCAAACCACCAGAGAAGTGTCTTTGGGTTTGCATTGCAACTCCTGTGGATTTTGTTGGTTTTAGGTGCCATTTACTCAACTAAGACTCATATAAATTTTGTAGCCTTGTTTTTATATACTCTCAACCCACCACTGACCTTCCAGTAGGTTTTCAGAGGCAGTAAATCACAGAGGAAAAGACTGCCCATCCTCCTTCTGTGGAACAGGAGGTGAATTCAAACTGTCCACCTTTGGGATTGGAGATATGGTGTCCTGGTGGCAAGAAGCTGCACTGCAATCCTCAAGGCATGTGGTTCGAGGCCACAGGCTGCTCTGCGGGAGAAAGATGTGCAATCTTCTCTCATGCTATTAACTGCCTCTGAAAACTCACCAGAGGATCAGCTATGGGTCGGGTCCAACCCTATGATACATACAACAACAATAACAACAACAACAACCTTTGGGATCATAGCACAGCTTCTTATCTCTAGTCCACCAGGGCTGCTGCTGTTGTTGTTAGGTGCTGCTGAGATGAGGATGCTCATAGCGACCCTCTGAACCACAGATCTAAACCCTGCCCTATGTTCCATCCTCAACGTTTCTGACATCCTCGAGCCCATTGCTGCAGTCACTGTGTTAATCCACCTGGCTGTGGGCCTTCTCTTTCTCTAGTCCTCTCCAAGCATCATATCTTTCTCCAAGGAATAAGGAATAGCTTCTCCAAGCAGCATGCCCAAAGTATGTGAGATAAAGCTTTATCATCTTTCCCTCCAAGGAACACTTTAGCTGCACCTTCTCCAAGACATGTCTCTGGTCTTTTGACATTAAGTGGGTTCTTCAGCACTCTTTTCCAACACTGCAGTTCAAAGGCATCAATTCTTTTGTCATCCTTAGTCATTATCCACCTCTCACAAGCATAGCAAATGACTAAAAAGAGTATGGCCTGAATCAGGTGCACCTTTGTCTTCGAACTGACATCATTACTCCTCAATACTTTGAAGAGGTTACTAACTATAGGACTTTCCAGTGCAATATATCTTCTAATCTCAATTGCTGGTACCAAGTGTATTGATTGTGAGTTCAATTAAGATGACAATCTCAATCCTTTCTCTATCCATCAGATGTTGTCTCTTGGTCCAGTGGTGAGTATTTTTGTTTTTGCGATGCTGAGATGCAATTCTTATTGAAGTCTGCAGTGTTTAATCTTCTGCAACAAGTGCTTCAAGTCTTCCTCACTTTCAGTAAGCAAGGTTGTGTCACCTGCAATAAGGTTATTTATGAGTTTTCTTCCAATCCTTACTCCACATTGCAGATGGATTAAATAGGTATGGAGAAAGGATACAATCCTGACTCACAGGTTAATTCCCTGG